CGGCGTAGCCAGAATGAAATTTAGGGGGGGCTCGACCCTATTAAGCTGGCATTTCAGGGTACTATTTTATATATATATAAGGCAAATTTTAAAGTTAGGGGGGGCTCGAGCACCCCCTGCCCTACCTGGCTACGCCCATGGGTCACATTATATATGCACGAAAATGAAAGAATACATATGCAGCTATAGCAATAACAATTGCAACAAAAAAATATACAGCAAATACATACATACATACGTATGTGCCAAAGTGTGAACCGCAAAAATTTTGCAGTAAATTTGGAAATTTTTTAGAGGGAGAGAGAGAGACGTAAAGCTGGTAAACAAATTAAGAGACATAGCAGAGGCACTGCGCACATACATACGTACATAAGTATTTATGTGCATATTATGCATGTACATATGTATTATACGAGTATACAAATTGCCATATGCATAAATGTTTATAATTTTGCTGCGCACAGAGCAAGCAGCTTTTTTTGTTAATACCGGCCTTTGCTTGTAGTTATAGCGCATATATGTACGTATGTATATGATTATATGTAGATTTGTATGATGCACTACATACACATATACAGTGACTCAAACAATGACCACGTGTTGAATTTTTTAAAATCATAATGTTTTCGTAGTTGAATTTTTTTATTATTTTTCTACAAAAATACCGTGCAGGTTTCAACCGGCTAAAAAAGAGAGTTCATTTTTGAGAAATACGTTTTTTTACAGTGCTTTTGCGTTTTTTTTTTTTAAATAACAAGTGAAATTTATAAAAACTGGCATTGCTTTGTTGAAATTTTGTTGCGGGTCTACCGAATTTTATTTCATAAGAAATGTATGCTTATATGGAAAAAAGTGTAAAAATTCGTCACCAAAAAAAAATATATATCTCAAAAGTCAAGGTTATCTTTTAGCCGTTTGAAACTTGCATTCCATCAGACAAAAATTGTATGGGCTATAAAAATCCAAAGACTCAGATGAAATTTTTGAAATTTTCTAAATTTTGTAGATATAAAGTAGGGATGTGCCAGGTATAGGGTAGAAATCCGGAATCCGGCTTATCCGGTCTTTTTTCTGTTATCCGACTATACGGCCGGATACTGGCTGAAATCCGGTCAGATTTCCGGATTTCGATTATAGAAAATTTTATCTATTTCAAATTTTTATTTTTTTTATTTCTATAATCAAATTTAATAGTATCTAATTAATAATTAGGAGTTAAAAATTTATATATTTTTCATTATAAAAAGAAGCATTTCCGCATTACCAGTCAAGAACCCGTTTTTATTTTCAACATAAATGCCACCCGATGCACTAAACACTAAACAATTTTTTTTATTTTTTTTTTTATATTGGCTTGAACCCAGGCCCTGCGGAATGTTAGCGCGTACTGGTAACCGCTGCACCACAGCGGCCGTCTATGATTTCACCAAATTAAAGGATCTTCTTGTCTGGGTATAAGGGTAGCTGTAAATATTTCGCCATTCCTCCATCGTTTGGGTATCCACATCCCTACAAAAACTGGAATCAGTATCAGAGCCGTTGGCGATTTCGCCAAAGTATTGCTAATTAACCTCGGTTCGCTCTTCAATAGAATCTTTCACTAGAATTCGGCCCTAACTGATTTATATTTTCGAATTATTTACATAGTTCACCGTCTACCCAGTTTTTAGATTTATTGATGTCAGACGTGACGTGTGTCACAAAATATTGCAATAATGAAGCCTTACGGGCGGTTCGGGGAGCGAAACGATATGTAACCATGCATATTAGTTCAATTTTCATCACCTTTTAAAATAATAAAAAGTTCAATTAGGTGTTTTTCTTAGCAGCGTTAATTTTTCTTTATCTTTTTTGTTTGATGGTTCTCCTCCATTTACCAAAAATAATCGATAAATCCTGGTTGCAGACGGAGAAATTATCTTTTTAATACAGGATTATATCATAACTTGGATTTCAGAGGAGAAATTTTGTATTCTTAGTTAAGTATTGGATAGTTCAGCTCGAAAAAAACAGATAATCTAGCTAAACAAAAAAAACTAATATAACAATATTGTGAAATTTATTAAGAGCAGCAGTATACCGGCTCTTATTTTTTACAGAATATTCGGAACCCGGTTATCCGGCAAAATCTTTATTCGGCACATCCCTAATAGGTATAAAGTTTGAAACTGTGATCTATATGGTTTTGGTTACTCGTTTATATGGTTTGGTACTTTTATAGAAAAATAACCAAAAAAATTTAGCTCGAAAAGTTTACGAATACTTAAAAAAACACGTGCTCACTTCTTTGAGTCACTGTATGCGTATGGAAATTAACACTTTACGTTACTTCCTTGTCTGAGGCGACGACGCAATGACAAGCGGAACAACGAAAAAATATCGCTTATATTAAATAGCAACAACAAATTACGCAGTTGATTGCTGCTAGCACAGCGTATAGCTAAATAAGAGAGGCAAAAACAAATCAAACGCAATAGCGTTGCACATGGACATAGCTATACATATGTACATATAAAAATGCAATAATAAAAACAACAACTGTTGCAAATGAAAATTCGCAAACAAAAAAGCTTAAAAAAAGCATAAAAAAAGTTTTAAAAACCAAAGAAAGCACAACAAAGGCTGCAATTGCGCGACCACCGGCTGACAGCAGCAATAGCTAGCCAGCAAAAAATTAACCAACAACAAAAGCAAACCACTACCCCCACCAACATGCAACACGCGTCGTTGCCACCTAACTGAGCGTGCAGCCGTCGAACGCTAACCGCCTGCCGCTAGCCGCCACCATTGTCGCCGCCGCCACCATTGTCGCCGCCGCCACTGCAACTAACGCTTTTAACTTTACAGCCGGCTTAATTAAATGCAACAGCAGCAACAACAACAACAATAATGCCAGCGCACAGCGAAAGCAATGGAAATTAGTACAGCCTAACAAATAAGCGACGACTACGTCATGTCGCTCTGTTGCAAAAAAATCGCCTGTATATGAATGTATGCATTACGTAAGCCTTTGCCATAGTTGATTTGTATATGCACCACTTTTGCATTTTTATGCAACATCAATGCGCGTCCGCTAAACTATTCGCATTCGTTTTTCGCAAACGTTTTAGTGTGCTCACTCACTCATTCACGCCGTGGGGGAGGTCATGAATGTGGCAACTATGCGGCAATTCAATTGAGAAGTGCACAGCCATTGATATAAACCACTACATACAATATACATTAATAATATCTACGTTAAATACATAAAACAATTGCTTACATTTTGTTAATATAAATATTGCAAATAACAGAAATTTGCTATGACGAAAGCAATAGGAAGAAAAATTTAAAGCATTTATTGCAGAAAGACGGCGTGTGGTAATTTCATTAAAATGGTATATTTGCTTGGAATTCTCAACGAGCTCATGATACTAATTAATTAAGTAAGTCTAGCAATTTATGGAAATATCGCTTATCTCTTCATTCTTTTGTGTAAAGTAAGCATCAAAATCAGGAACCAAAACTTCTACCATCTAAATTAGCGACGACCGAAAACTTATAAACTTCTTCCGTGGAATGTGTTTTGGTCGTTATGGGTATAAGCACTGTTCCCTTCGGTACTACCATCAAGTATTTCCTCTAGAGGTGACTAGGGCGCTAAGCTCGGGGTTACTTGCAAGACTGACGCAGTATTCAAAAATGCTTATTAAACTTGGAACCATTGCTTCTTCCTCAAACGTGCTTTTGCATTGACAGCTGTCAACACCATATTGGTCTACATATATGAGACCTTATTGGCCAATCTAGCTCACCTTTTATATTTTGGCAATTAGACTGTCATAGCAGAACCATTTATGGCGATAATATGCGAAAGCCGAAAATCGAGTACAAACCAATATAACATGGTTTGCATTCATCTTTTTGGTACAGGAATAAACATTAAGGTGAAGCGGGAAAAATCTAATTTTACATTTTGAAATTATAATAGTGAGGAAAAGTTACGTAACATGTTCATATTCAACCTTGTTAAATCGTCTTCCGATAGAATAATATTTACAGTCACCACCAGACCCTTAAAGTTTCGGAAAAACTTACAAATCGTGGTTCTTTTATTCCATTCTTAAGATTTTCCAGAAAGATTTTTAATGCGCGGTTTTATAACCTATTAGAAAATAGCGTTGCTTTTTGGATCTTTTCAGGGACGTAAACCGGATAAAAAAATTTGGTAGGTTCGGTTCAGCGATTCGAACCGTTTTGGCGCTTTTGGACTGGTTCGACAAAGCATATTTTTTTGGTCTTTGAACCGGTATTTCGGTTGGGTTTAACGGTTCGTAAATAAAAAAAAAATAACGCGCAAGTTTAAGTGTCGAGTGTCTGTTAAATCAGATGGGTTGCCTTTGATATTGCATTTGATATTGCCACATGGTAAACAAACATGGTATGTATTACCATGTTTAACAAAAATCAAAAATTGGGTAAATGTGTCTATTGAAAATTGGTTGAAACGAACCTTTATGGAAATTGGTTCGGACAAACGTTTGTGGAAAATTTCGGTTCGGTTAATGGTTCAGTTATTTAATAGAAAAAAGCGGTTTTCCGTTTCAAAACCGGTTCACGTCCCTGATTTTTTGTTTCCTTTTTTGTGAACTTTCGAAACTTTAAGGTTCTTGGGGCGACCATAAATACTATCTGATCATTGTGATCATGTCACGCAACAATTTCGCACTATTAGAATTTTGCAATCAAAATCCATAGTTTTTCTGTTAAGAAAATTAGCACTGAAAAGTAGCTCCCTAAAACCGGCAATTTTAAAAACACTTTAGTTACGGCCTCGTTTATTTCAAATTTTTCTCTAGGAAAAAATATCTACATAAATAAATCTTTGTTAACTGCCCTCATATACAATTATTGCCTAAAAATTTAGTCAACGACGCACTCATATCTCAAAATGAAGACAACGATCAATTAAAATGTCTCAATTATTTTATTTTACAAAACAAATGTCTCTTGACACTCACCTTAATTGTTCAATCGCTTGCAGCATCTTTACATGAATTCGTCATCTTTCGTCCAATTTATTTTGCCTTTGTGTTGTAAGTATGTATGTATGTATGTATTTATGTAGCCAAGTAACACAACGAAATTCTTACAGAACAAAGAAGCCACACATCACTACAAAAACTTTTATATGTAATATATTTTTTTTGATTATTATTTCGGTAAGCACTTTATTACATTTTTTTTTTTTTTGTGGTAACACAATGATGAATCAAACAGAATTCTTTGTTGTTAAATATTTTTTCCACTTTCGGTGCTGTATTTTTCACAAAAATATTTGTATAGCAAAGAATTGTGTTGAATTCGCTTTTACAGCTCGAACAACTTACTTACGCTCTTCCTTTCTGGTATGTATGTATGTAGAAGAGTGTGAATTATTAAAAATATTTGCACTTTCGCACTTAAACATTCGTTGTGTGCGTTTTACACGGTTTTCACTGTAGCTTTTAAATATTAATTGAAATCAACAATTACTTTTTCATAACAGCTTTCGTTTTTTTTTTTTCCTTTTATTGTTTACCTCCTCCGTTTATCGTTTTCAAGATGCAGCTTTTCAATGATTTTATTTTGGAGTATATGTTTTTCGATTCATCTATATCTTTCTGGTTTGTTTTTCGTCGACGTTAAAATTTCTGTGTATTTTATTTTGTAAATTCTATAACTTTTCTTAGTAAAAAATTTTAAACTATTATTTTTTTTTCTTTAATATGCATGTATATACTTGTAGGGAAACATTTGTTTTGTGAATACTTTTCGTATATTTAATATTTAGTACGAGAATTGAACACAATTGGGTATCGTGGCGTAGCAAATTTACAAATTTCTACTTAAACTTTTAAATTTTTAATATTTAGTTTTCACTTACTTATGTTGCTTACAAATGCACATATGTATGTGTATGTTATCTATTTTTGTATTATATATGTACCCATGGGTACATTACTACAATATTTATTGCCATTTATTTACAATTTACACACTGATTAATCACTTCGAATTGACGCGTAGAATTTTTTGTTTGTAGTAGCATAAGTTTTGTCACCTAAAAACAAGTAATGGAATAGTTAATGTTAGTTCATATGTAGATTTGTATGTATGTATATAAAAGCATAAAAAGCTAGAATTACAAACAAAAGGAAACTACAAATTTTAAAAAGTATGAAGTACATACAGTCAGTATTTGCTACTCTTTGTGATAAACTTAAAAATGTACATATGTATGGACCCCTTCATTAAACCATACCACCTTGAAAATCCCATTTAGAAAAAGAAAATTGCTGAACCTACATTTACATTACATTTTTCGATGAAACCTACATGCATTCGGCAATACATTTTTTTTTTAAATAGTTCGAATCGAAATAAGCGAAATACTTCCTTAGCAAAATTGCATTGCTTTTGGTGAGCTTTAATGTAGAATGGTACGTTATAGTGATAATAACTGAGATCTGGGAGCTAAGTCCTATAGCAGGGTACTTGAGGTGAATGAACAAACCAAATTTTCTTAACGAGACACGAACATCGATGTATCACGCTCCGCTCAAGATCCGACTTCTAATGTCGATGATATGAAGAAACAATGTAAAAGGGCGACCCTAACGTTCGGTCAAAAAAAAATCGAAATTGCCTTCGAATCAAAATACTTTCTTAGCCAAGGTTTTATTGATTTTTGGCGAACTTTTATTTACTGACATCTGGTGTGTAAGTACCAGAACGTAGTACTTGAGGTCGAGACAAGAAAATCGATCATACTTTAGGATCCGACTCTCTAAGTTCGTAAAAAATATATAAAAAACATTAACTTTTTTTCCCGGTGGCCAAATGTACATATTATAAATACAGATTTTCTCATCTAAGAGTCAAACAAACGCGCAAAACGCAACGTTTCCCGCATCGCGACTGAATCATCGAAAGCGCATTTATGAACTACGGTTGCTGAAACGTACCGCTGAGTGAATAAATATATCTGATCCCAAAGATAAAACGTCCTGGATAAGCCGCTTTCACTCTTAACCTACCAAAATTTTATACTTTCTTCCGCTTGGTAGGATGGCAGGTTTAAAAGATTATTGGTAGGTTTTCATCACATTTAGAAAAGAATATACAGACTTAACCGATTCGAAAACGCTCTATCTCAGAAAATCGGTCAAGAAAATCGGTCGTTTCATACTTCAGAATTTGTTTGAAGAGCAACCTTTCTAAGAATTTAATTGAAAAACGCCCTATCTCGGAATTTGTAACTAAAACGCCCTATCTCAACTGAAAATATATTGAAAATGCCGAGCCCTAACCGCGAAAAATATGTAAGCGACGTATTTTTCAAAATATTAATTTTGATGCAGTAATGTATCTAGATACTCTAGGAATATTTCTGCATCAAAAAGAAAATTTTGAAAAAAATATGTCGGTTTTATCTTGTTGGCGGTTAAGGCTCGATATTTTCAATATATTTTCAGTTCAGATAGGGCATTTTTAAAACACAATCTGAGATAGGGCGTTTTTCAAACATATTTTGAAGTAGGGCGTTCTTAAACCATTTTCTGAGATATGTCGATCTTCAACTTAGTCGCCGACATACGACCCATCTACCCAAAGATATAAAAAAAAATCGATTGTGAGCCATGAATCTTCTCATTTGGAAGGTCTTCCTTCTTAAATAAGCTCTTTCTGGATGTTTAGATGACCGAAACCACAGTCACGAACCGTTTACTCAAGGTACCGGTCGACCTTCGTAGCCAACTACATTTAGCCGGGTACAGCAGAGCCCGGGCGGACGTTCTTGGTCTCCGCTACTCGTGGGACTACACCATGGATAAGAAAACAATTTCAACAGCAATATGGGACAATACAGCACTTCAAAATAAATGGCAGAAGGAGCCACAAACTCGTCAAGCTACGGCATCACCGAGCATACTCGAAACATCAACGAAGTCAGACTGCAGGAGCAATGAACTCACCAGCGCTACAACTAAGATACCCCGTGGTCTGAAAAGTCCAAAAGCGAGTGCTTCTCACAAATGCGGTTCCTGCAGCAGACTCGATACTAAGCGAAGGGTGTCTGGTGAGCTTGCGGTGGGTAGATCCAGGGTAATTCCAAGGACTTGGTCCGTCGATGGCTACCTACTAAGACAGATGTACCGCTTCGAGAATTTCCCGTCGCCAGGCCACTTCATCGATCTGGGAGGATCAGCTCTCAAAGGTTGACTTTGTGAGATTAGAGGACATGCGTGGGCAAAGAAAATAATTCCGGACTTCGATATCAATCAGAATGGCAAGGCGGAGGCCACAAAGCGCCAGAGACCGATGGAGTAAGTTCCGGCATCGGCACCGAAAAGTGCAAATACAGTATATTTTGCTTAGCTGCCCATCCTTCTTTGCACGAAAAACTTGTGCACTTAACCGAAAAAAGCACTTAAGCGAATTTTCTTAATTATCTATATAACTACATTAATTGATAGCCATTTTCGTTGTTCTGCGAGATGAGCAAAATAAATAAACGCTTGTAAAATTAGGTAATTGTAGGGCCAGTGCAGGTAAACCTAAAACTTTCTTTGACAGTTAATAACAGTTGCACAACTTTTAAGGCTGGTATCGCCAATGCGCAGGTATGTTGAATGCGTCTATCGGAGGAGTTTCCTTATAAATGTTAAAAATAATGCCGCTAGTGCGCATTTTAGGGTAGGTATCTTAAATGTGCACTTAAGCATAAAGGCAGCAAAACAAAATATACTGTATACAAGGACATTGGACTCGAATCTTTGTGGAAATAGCTAAGGACCAGTAGGTTTTAGTCCTCATCGACGATAGCAACGATGACTGCCTTTAGTGGCACGTAAAACCCATTTCCTGCAATGCCAGTAGATCGGTGGAACTGTACAAAGCGGCGATGGACAGAGTAGACGAGGTGTATCCGCGAACCCACCTAAAGGTTGTCGAAGCTTGAGACATCTCGTCACTTCCAGGAGCGAGAGCGTGGATATCGGCAACACTTATTGATCCTACGTTTATTCCAGTATTTATTTTATTTAAAAAACACGATCTTTAATTCGTTAATTTGTAAGCTTTTAATGAAATCCTGTTATGTGGTGAATTAAAGTATCAGCCAGATTTATTTCGTGACGTGTTAATTCGTTATCGTTATTAATTAAATTAAAGCTAAATTCTGATGTGAATAAATAGCTAGCGACTTATGTGTTCAAGGTAACGTACTGGCTGAGAAACTGGCAAACTGTAACTCTGTGTTATAGCCAATGGGACTAGAGCCTATTATGCGATCAGGTTTTACAGAAACTGTCAGTTGGATTTGAGGACTCATAAAGAAGAGACACAGCGATCGTTGATGCAGCCCCACAAAACAACTAAGTGCTTCGGAAAAATTCCCACCCAAGCTTTTAAGCGCAACGATCCTGAAGGCCCGTTTACATAGAACTTTGGCGTTGCGTTGGCGTTGGCGTCGCTTCAACAGCTGACTATGAATACATGAATTCAAATGCAGCCGTCCACATAGCCAAAATTCGACAACGCTCACGCCAACACAAAGCAAAAAGATGGCCAACTCTCAACTTTTCGCGTGCGTCGCTCGTCAGCTGTTGCGAATAAATAAAATTATGTGAAATATTTTTCCTTTTTAATCAAGTGCGGGCAAGAAATATCGTTTTTAATGCAATTATTGATATGAAATATTAATTTATCTGTCGTTAATATGTTAATTTAGTGGCCCAAGGATTCGCCGCCAAGCGTTCATTGTAGCAAGCATACTTTTAACGTGCGTTCTGTCAAACCAACGCCAACGCCAACGCAACGCCAAAGTTGTATGTAAACGGGCCTTGAGTATTTGGGGTTTTCCCTTCACCCAAATCCATTCCATCCAGTTCAATCCATGGGAAAAGGACTCAATAGGAAAGTTACATACTAATAAATAACGAAAACTTTACGTTAACGAAGCATGCGTTCGGCAGTTCGGGCATTCGACAGCTAAGACACCGCTCGCTTAATGTACATGTATGTAGCTCTAACCATTGTTGGAGAACTAAATATTTAACTGAAGTTCATATGCACTCGCTGTTACAGTTGATGGGTTGCTACATAGCAGAAAAAAATAAATGTATAAAACCACTTCTCAAACGACATTCTAAAGGCATCGTTTACGTGCTCGTTGAGTAAAAAATACTCCTTATTTTACAAAACGTTTCGACATTATTCGGCACGAGAAGCTGACGTTTTGAATAAGTGAGCTCAACCGAGGCATACAAATTTCTTCCATCTTCTTCGACCCATATGTTTTTTTTACTTCGACTGCTAATCTCTTTGAGCTTATGAGACAACTTTTTAAAGATTTAAAAATATAATGATTGAATATTTGTAATACGAGTACTTACCATTAGCAATGTAATCCTTCTCTTTACGTTTCGTGGATGCTAAAGTGGTAGAGTACTTCTGCGTTTCGGTTTTTTTTTGTATTTTTTTTTTTTTTTGAAACACTGATAATCCCAATAATCCAAAATTAATTGTATGTATTTGTTACTTTTCTTATAAAGCGCTTTCCACAATTTTGCTCTCACACTACCGGCGCTCTCTTGCTACACCGAACTTCACAGCTCGTCTTAGTTTTCCCCACTTCCGCAGCCATTTTTGAAAATTTTCATAAATATTTTGAAGAATATTTTTTTTCTACGACGCATTTAGTTGCCAGTAGCTGGGTTTTTAATTTAAATAATTTGCTTTCTATCTGCTGATTGGCTTGAGGCTGATTTAGTGTAATTTTTTTTATTTTTTATTAGTGAGTGGTATTTGAATTTGTAAATATTTCTAAATACACTTTTAATGAGATGAAAGTTGTTTTTGCACGAATCTAATTAATCTTTGTGAAGAGGTTTTAAATTTTGTTGAATTCTGCTGCTTTTTTATGAATGCGCTGTGCTTTAAGATGTTTCTAGACGTTTTTAGTTGTGCGTAGGCAATATTTCTTTAGCTTTTATAGGTGCGCGTGTGTGTGTTGAAATATTGAGAGTCGCACTTTACATGACACAAAAATCCGTTGCGTAATACATATATTTTGCATTCGCTTTACAAGCTCAGTTACATATGTACATATGTAGGTACTTTTCCAGCTATTATGCACTTTTAGGGATTTTTAGCTTTTGCAACGATTTCAACAATGCTTTAAGCGGAGATTGTAACTCTTTCACTCAAAAAACTTTTTTGTCAATATCTCGCAATATTTTTCTTGCACTCTTAGGTATGCACTTTTTCCGAAAAGCGTTTTCAACTTGGCGTTTTTTTATATCGGCGTGAAGCCTTTTTCAAATTTTATTGTAAACTAATTCATAATTTTTTCATTGATTTCTTTTATGATTTTTTGTTAAAATTCTCGTTTTCTTATTGCGAAAACGAATTATCTGTTTGTGTTTCTTATAGCTGTTACAATTTTAAATTTCTAAATCGTATTTTGCTTTTCCGGGTGGATTTCAGCTCAATTTATTTGCTTACACAAATTTCTTTTTTAGAAATTTTTCGCTTTCTTCCAACATTTTTCAAGCTATTTTTCACTTAAGATGCAGTTGTAATTTTTCATATTAAATTTTAAAATTTATAAGATGCTTTTTCGGCATTCGAGAGTAAAATTTTTGTTGCTTTCACAAATTTTTTCATATCAAATGCATTTGGATGCGGGTATTGGTATCATAATTTTTCATGCAACACTATTTTCTTTTTATTTAAAGAAAAAAAAAATATTCAGCACTATCCACTGCCACTGCTATGAATTTATTTTTTCGATTTTTTTTTCACACTACAAGCATTTTTAATCAATTCAGCATTTCCTTCTCCATTCTACATAAATCTCGTTTCTTTTGTTTTATCACTCGTTGGTATTAATTCGCTGTTGCTGCTCAAATAATTTTTAAAATTTCTTCCTTAAATTTCACTTATGGCTCTTTCACATATTTTTTTATAACCAAATTTCCTTTGTTTTCAGGTATTCATAAAATTTTTGGCTCGCAAATAACTGTATAAACCACCCAAAAATTTCTTTTAGATCTGTATTATTTCGTATGCTTTCACTGCCTTTGCGAGCAGCACTTCACTCGTTCCAAATAATTTCTTTGCATTTCACACTTCGATCAAGGCGCATTTCGCATTACATATGTACCTACAATTTTTACAATCACTGCCGCTTACAATTAGTGGCCACTAAACTCGACAGCTGACTGCCGCAAAAGGTGCTTTCCAAACCGTTTTACACTTCCGTTTCCTTATGCACACTGAATGCCGTTAATCCACTTCGGCAATGCAGCGCACGCTCCACTCTGCGAGTAAATATTTAAATGCCTTCAGCCACACTTCAACACCTTCGCCAATTCATTACAACAATTTTCCACAAATTCACTTTGTAATTGATTAACTTCCTTTATTTATTTTTTTGGTAAAAAATTCTATGCAAAATTTTTAATAGCTTCAACCGCAAGCAACGAAAATTTCCGCGTTCACGCGTAATTCTGGGCACTTCTCTCGCACATATAGTGGTGTCAGCGGCAACGTCGTCGACAAATAACAACACTTATAATAATAATATCGAAGACGGCATTGGCAGCGGCAACGGCAACGATGTCAAACGAAAAAGAAGAAGACAAGACGACAATAACGACGTCGACGTCGAAGACAGAGCGCACGATGACGACAACTTTGATTTGCGGCGACACGGCACGGAAAAGCAAAGAGCGTACTTTTGAGCGGCGTATCCGTGCAACGTGAGCAACAGAAATGACAACGTTGTATTGAATTGCCGGCCCAACACCGCCAACATTGATCACACACACCCAGACTGCCATTCAGTCGGCGTAATTGTCGTTAGCATATTTGCTTGCTGTTCGGCGGTGAGTTGTCTTGCTTTCAATGACGGCGGCGGCGGATGTGCTCTTAGGTTGTGAAGCGTGCTCATAGGCTTAAAAGAGTACCAATGTGTAGTGTGAGAGCGAGCGCGAAGCAAAAACGCGCGCAAAACGTAAGAGAATGCAAGTGTGAGTGATTGCGTACCGGTTGTTGGTGTGTTTTTAGGCGTTAAAGCGGGGTGCGCGGTGAAAAGTGTATGCGCGCAATGAGTATTACGTATGACAGCGCAAAGCGGACAAAAAACAAAAACAATAAGAGAAAAGTTCATTCACCGTTTGGGGGCAGTGTGGATGAAAAGGGCCCACATATACGAATAGATACATACAAACATATTCAAGAGATACAAACAGATAAATGAGTGAGTGTGTAACATTGTTGCTACTTCGGTTAGCTGTTATTGTAATACTGTTGGTTGATTTGTTGTTGTTTTCGTTGCTTTCGTATACAATTTACTTACTCATATGTATGTCCATACATACAGTATTTGTCATGTCTATAGCACGCAATTTCAAAGTAATATTACTTGCCACGCACATATATTTATTTATTTTTAAGAGTTTTGAATTAAAATACAGTTTAATCTAACAAAACCCATTTAAACCCAAGTTTATAACTTGGTGAAAAACTTCAAAAAGATCAGACAAATCTACACCCAGATCTCAATTTTTTTTTCTCACAAGTGTAAGAATTTTTTTGAATACCCAGTTTTATAGCCCATACAATTTTAGTCTGATAATGTGCAATTTTCAAGTGGCTAAAATTTCCTAGTTATTTTTTCCGAAGAAAACAAATCGTTTTTACTCCTTATATGGAAGCAAATTCGAAAAAGAAAATTCCAAAAAAGCAGCGGTAATTTTTAGCTACTTGAAACTTGCACTTGTCAGATTAAAATTGAATTGGCTTTAAACCTGTATACTTGAAAATAATTCTAGCACTTCTAAGAAAAAAGTTTGAAATTTGAATAAAAAATTTTTGCTTTTTCTTGCAGTTTTCTACAATGTTTTAAGTTTGGGTGTATGTAGAGTTTGTAAGACAATGAACTTTTTTTTATTGAAAATTCTTAAAATTAAGTGACAGAAAATATCGAGCCCTAACCGCCAAAATAACGTAAGCGACATTTTTTTCGAAATTTTATTTTTTATGCAGAAATGCATCTAGATGCTCTAGGAATATTTCTGCATCAAAAATAAAATTTTTAAAAAAATGTCGCTTACGTTATTTTGGCGGTTAGGGCGCGATATCACTTTGAAATAGCGTGCTATAGATGTGACCAATACCGTATATGATATGAGAAGGTACATATGTACATACATACAGATGTGTATGGCTGCATGTGTTTGTAAAGCAGCTGCTTTTGCTGCCGCAGCGAAATTCGATATTAAAATATTTCATGCATATTATTCACATAAATATGTATATATGTACATACATATGTATGTACACATGAATTAATAAATATACAATCACTTATATACAAAAATATCGTTACCTTAATAAATGTAGAAAGGTCCTAACATTTTTTTTTATAGAGTATTTATATGTGACTGGATCCATTTCAAATCATGCAGACAGTCCTATGGTATATCGGGAATTAACTTCAGATTAAAATATGTTTTTCTGCTTGAAAAGCAAATGTACACGTATTTTTTTAAATTTTCATAGCATTTCTCCAAATTTGTTAATGTATAAATACTCAAGTATTACAATTAAAAAAACAAAAAAACTATGAAAGTGATTAATTTTTTTTGCCCAAATGACCAAGAAATTTTAATTTTATTAATTCTTTGGATTTTAGATAGGTATTAGGATCGTAGAAGATATGGCTATGTGTATCTATGTTTGCACATTAGGCTGTGTCAAATAGAATTCGTTGTCGGTTACAGAAAAATAATTGTGGCAAAATCTCAGCCCCCTATCTTCATTTTTTAGTTAGCGCTCGCATAACTAAGTAGGAATTTTTAATGAATATAATTTTTTTTTTTTAATTTAATAAACAATAAAAAATAAAAAACAACCTCGTAGGCAATTCAACTGTAGTATAATAAGTGTAAAAAATCAACAGTAAATCCTAGCTAGTTCAAACTTGCACTTATTATACTAACATTGAATGCGAACAGCAATGAAATTTTCATATGAGACCGGAAAAAAAAATTCGTTTTATTAGACACATTCTAATGTAAATACATACTTACATATATCGGTTTAGAAAAACAAACCATAGATTAATCGCCATAAATGAACTTCTATTTGTTCGATCATATCCTTTCGATAATCTTTTAATCCAATTTTACTATGATTTCTTAAAATTATCTTCGATAACTTTTGTGATTAAATCGATATCTTTATTTTTATTTTTTTTATTTTTTATATTTTATAATTTCAAATTTTTTCAGTGACCTCTTTTTTATATTTTGCTTAATAATTTGTGGTCGATAAAATATCGATAATGTGATCGATATTTTTCGATAATAATTTTCAAGTTTAGAGATTACTTAAATGTTAGGCATTTTTTTCACAATCCCTCAATTAGGGGATTCACAAGACGTTTTAAGCATCACAATGTCTTAACCCTCGGTGTACAAGGTGAATTAAAATTCTCGCCTATACAACGTGGAGTAAATGTAGCCCCACATAAATTTTGGCTACTTTTGCTTATTTATCAAACTAATTTTGTATTTATTGATATTTTTTGATAAATCAGTTTGTAGATACATATATATATTATGGAATAAAACACAAAATTTTCAATTAATAATCATACAGAAGAAATGTGTTTAAAGGGCAAATAAATGTTAAAGCTTACATGAAAATGGCTCTTAGACGCTTAACACGCCTTGTGAGTCTTTTAAATATTTTGTGTTTTTTATTTATTCAAAAAATTTATAATTTTTAGTTCGACGTTTTTTTTTAATTTAATGCTTCCTTTCTTAAAAATTTGCCAAACAAAAATGTTGTCGAAAATGTATTGTTTTCTATAACTCATATTTCTTCAAAAGCTCATATTTATCTACATCATAGTAAATTTTTTTAGTTTTGATAAAAATATTTTTTTTTGTAGTTCAAAAATTTGATGATAAAAATTGTTAAATAAAAATCAGACACATTAAAAAACAGAAACCGTGTTCTTATGAGCCGAGAATCTCCTTGGGAAGCAAGTTTTCCTTGGTCTTTAAAAAGACCTTCTTGCTGCTTTTAGGTAAAAAAAAAATATAAAACATTTTAAAATTTTACTTTTTGCTTTTATGTCGTTTTTGAGATATTTGATTTTATTCCTGTTTTTCGAAATCGAACATAGTGCGGCGCACAGTGTTGAAAATGAACAGCAACTGCTAGCGAAATAAACTTAATAGTATGTAAAAGCTTTCAGATGGGAAATTCAAGAAAAATAGTCTCATTTGATAGCAAACAAATTGGGGTTAAAGCAATTCCTTAATTAATTTCCTTAAGCAAAGAAACCCAATAATAAAATTAACACAATTTTTATAATTTAGTCCATGTGGCAGGGAAAAAGCGGAGAAATGGAAACAATAAAATCTTAATTTGTTTTGTTCAATTACACAATTAAATTTTGACCTAAAAGCTTCATTTGTAGGTATGTGCCTACATACATGCAGTATGCACATTAGGGTGCTCTAAAATTTTTTCCTTTAGCCACAACCCAGA